TACCTTTCTGCAAGTTAAACAATCATTTACAATTCGTTTTGCTATATTATAAATTCCAATACACATATACTTTATTGCAACTTGATCCACCAATTCTTGAGTTCGCCAGTGGGTGTTTTCGTGAAACCTTTGTAATACCCTCAGAGCTGCGGATTTTGAAAGCATTCCCCATCCATCAGGCAGCACCCATTTGCCTTTATCTGTTTCTTTTATCCCCATCTGAATCATTTTGCTTTTTTCTTGTAATGTGAAGCTAAGCAGAGTATAAATTGGCCTATGATGGTAACAATGTGTATATTTCTTCCTGTCCCCCCATTCATAATCATAGCATGGAAATTTCATTGAATCATTCCCGCAGTCTAAGCAGTCTTCCCTTGTTTTTATAATTTGCACGGTCATTAGTGCCGCTCTTTTAGCCTCCTGGTCTGCCAAATTATTCCCTCTGATCTGAGGGGTGAGGCCTCGCTGGTGTCCTTTAACGTGTACTACAGCAATTTCTTTAGGTCCTCTGATAGCCTGTAGGACTTGGGTAATCAGTTCTTGGTGTACTAATCCCTTTCCCTGTGAATTAATGAGCCCTCGCTCTTCCCATATTTTACCAAATGTATGTAATACCCCGTATGCATATTTTGAATCTGTATATATTGTGCCACTTTTGCCCTTTAACAGTCTTAAGGCCCGTAGTACAGCATATAATTCACAAGCCTGGGCAGACCAACTTGGACTTAAAGGTCCGGATTCAATTATTTCAAAAGTTTTCCCATTCACTAATGCGTACCCCGATTTCCGTTTCCCTTCCACTATTCTTGAAGAACCATCTACATATATCTGTTCCCCTATAAGTAACTCTTCTTCCTCCAAATCAGTCCTCAGTTTTGTTTGCTCTTCTATATTTTGGAGGCAATCATGTTCTAAGGGCTAGTTCGGTTTCCCATAAAGAAACTGAGCAGGACTTTGCAGGGAAATTGTTGTTAATGCTAGTTTTGGGGAGGAAATTAAAATTCCTTCATATTTTAGTAACCTAGCATCTGTGATCCATTTTTCTGCTTTTTGCTGTAGTACTCTCCGGATATTGTGTGGGGATATCACCTTGATTTCTCCTCCGAAGGTAATTTTCTGTGCTTCTTCTACTAATAAAGCAGCTGCTACTACTACCTGTAAACAACTTGGCCAGCCCCGACTAACTGGGTCCAGCAATTTGGATAGGTAAGCCACAGGTTTTTAACTCCCTGCCCATTCTTGGGCTAATACTCCATATGCAGTGCCCTCATTGCTGTTAACAAATAAGAAAAACGGTCTCCTCAAATCCGGAAGACTCAACACCGGAGGGCGTGCTAATTCTTCTTTTAATTTTTCTAATTGTTTTTCATCTTCTTTGGTCCATTTTAGCAACCCATCCTTAGTCAATTTTTTATAAAGAAATTTAACTTTGCCGCTGTAATCTTCAATCCATTGTCTACAATAGCCAGTCAACCCTAATAACTGTCGTACCTGCCTCTTAGTTTGTGGAGTCGTTAAAGCCAATATCCCACTGATTCTGTCTGGGTCTAATTTCTTAGTTCCCTCACTTAGTCGGTGGCCCAAGTATTTTACCTCTTGTTCTACAAACTGCAGCTTCGATTTCGAGACTTTCAGTCCCTGCAAGCTAAGAAAATTCAACAGCTGTATGCTGGCCTGCCTAACAGTATCTTCATCTCTCCCTGCTAATAACAAATCATCTACATACTGTTATTGTTACATACATATGTTACTCCTGGTGGCTTATTGTAGTTTTGTAAAATTTGCTCCAGGGCTTGTCCAAATAAATTAGGTGATTCAGTGAATCCTTGAGGAAGGACAGTCCACCGTAACTGCTGCTTTCGGTGGGTATCTGGGTCTTCCCATTCAAAGGCAAAATAATCCCTACTACCTTCCTCCAGAGGACATGCCCAAAATGCATCCTTTAAATCCACTACACTATACCACTGACCATCTGGGTGCAATTGACCTAATAGGGTATGGGGATTTGCCACAACAGGAAATCTGGTTACGGTTCTCTTATTAATTTCTCTTAGACCATGTACCAATCTATGTTTGCCATCTTTCTTTTACACTGGTAATATTGGAGTATTAAACGGGGACATACAAGGTTCTAGCAACCCTTGTTGTAATAACCTTTGAATTTCAGGTTTTAACCCTTGTCTGCCTTGCTCAGACAGGGGGTATTGTTTAATTCTCGTTGGTACACCCGGGTTGGTTATAGTTACCTTAAAAGGTTTAATATCTTATCTTCCTACACTTTCTGGAGTGTACCAGACTTCAGGATTTATACTTTGCTCGTCCTCCGTTCTCAGAGGACACAACATAATTTTTAGCTCTTTATCTACTACCTCTAAACTTATGCCTAATTCTACTATTAAGTCTCTCCCTAACAAGTTATATTCTGCCTCAGGCGCTAAGAGTAAGGATCCCACCCCTAATTTAGAATCCGATTCAATTAACACCTCTTTGATAACAGGGACCCCAAAGGGTTCCCCTTTTGCTCCAATTACTTGAACCTTTTCTGTCGAGATTTTACATCCTAAAGGCAGATTTTGGACGGTAGATCTTTCAGCCCCTGTATCTATGAGGAACACAATTTCCTCACGCTGGGGACCTATTTTTAACTTTATCAAGGGCTCAGTTTTCTTTCGGGTCCCCAGCAGATAGAGTCCCTGACACCCCTAGTCTTCCTTAAACATCTTCTCATCCTCCATTCTCAGTCGACACTGCTTCTTCTTATGACCTTTCTTATTGCAGTAAAAACAAGTCACATCCCTCAATCCTCCCGTCACTTTCCCTTCTCCCTCTAGTTTTTGGCGAACCACCTTTGAATCTTTTCTGTATTCGCCTCTTCTCTGCCCCTCGCGCATCACACCCATCATTATTCGTGCTTGCTTCTTCTCCTTTTCATCCTCCCTCCTTAAATACACTTTCTGTGCCTCCCTTAACAATTTGTCTAGACCCCGGTCTTGCCAATTGTCTATTTTCTCTAATTTTTTCCTAATGTCTATCCAAGACTGTGCTACAAACTGAGTTTTTAGCAAAGCCTCTCCAACAGGGGTTCCTGGATCTAATCCCGAGTATAGTTGCAAACTTTTGCGTAATCTCTCCAACCATTCTGTCGGCGTTTCATCTTTCTCTTGTTGCTCATTAAAGGACTTATTAATGTTTTGCCCTCTCAGGACTGATTCCCTAATTCCCTGAATGATAATGGTCCTAAGGTCCTGCATATGGCCACGATGTATAGGGTCCTGATTATCCCAATTGGGCCTCTGTAATGGCCATTTAACATCTGCTGCAGGACCTTGCTGGTGTTGCTGATCCCAAATTCGCATTCCAGCTTTTCTAATCATTCCTCTCTCTTCTGATGTAAATAATATCCCTAAAATAGATTGCATCTCTTCCCAGGTGTAGATATTGGGCCCTAAGAACTGATCTACCCGTTCTGCCACCCCTAAGGGGTCCTCCAATAGGTTTCCCATTTCTTTCTTAAAGTCTCGGACATCTCCGGAGTTCATGGGGATGGCCACATATCCCATACCGGGTTGTGGTCCTCCCATTGCTATTTCCTTTAGTAGATACAACCCCTCTTCATTTTTAAGCTGCTGTCTTCTGGCCTGACTCCTAGTTATTGGTCCCTGAGCACTAGAGTCAGAGTTGCTGTCGGCATCTCCCTGGGGGTGCAGATTAGGAGGCCCGGGAGTCGGAGGGGCTGCAGGTGGGATTGGTGAAACATAGGGAGGCGGTGGGGCTGGGATCTCAAATTCTTGTTTTTTCTTATGCCTCCCGTCCCCTCCTTTTTCTTTTAGAGGGTATAATTTGGTCTGAGTTTCCGAACTGATCCACAAATGTGCATACTCACTCTCTTCTAAACTAAAGGGTTCCTTTGAGTTCACATAAATATTTAGGGCCTGGCAAACCCAATCATCAAAGGACCCAAATACAGGCCAGTAAAGGTGGTCTCCTCGAATCTGTTTACCACCCCAAACTTCAATGCAATAATGTATCATTTTTACTTTATTTCTTCCCCGCCTAAAAGGGGAATCATCCCAATTTTTGATCATTAATCCCAAAGGACTATCTGGAGGAATAGGGGGTAACCTAACATCTGTCGTTACCCCGCCCATGGGACCAGAAGGCTTACTCTTCTTCTGTCCCATCTTCTGGAGCGCCTTCACACACACACACACAAATCGCTTCCCCCTTTTCATGGCCCAGTCCCTCACGGGATGTGGGAACCGCACTACCGAGGGGTCCGCACTCGCTTCGTCCGCAATTGGACGTCTCACAACGCTACGCTCCAGGATACCCAACCCCAACTGAACGGATCACCGGCCTATACTTACTCACTCCTGAGTCTTCGTTCGGTCTTCGTGCACAAAGATTACTAGGGGTTGCCGGCTTTATTTGCTTGCTGCCGAATTTAGGGTTCGTCGGTGAAGGATTTGAATGAAAGTAATCCTAGCGAAGGCCGCTGAAATCAGCGGGGCGCCCCCTCCAAAGGTCTTTCAATCAGATTGCCTTCATCCGAGTCACAGCACCAAATTTGTTATAAGTTGCCCCCTTAATTAATTTTCAGACAGCATTGCATTAATAATAGAAAGGAATTTATTGAGTAAGCAACAGCAAGCAAAACAGCGCTGGGTGGCCAGGGAGTCTCAGCTCCGCCAACGGCGCGCACCTCACCCCCGCCAGGGTCCCTTTGTATATCTTGGTAATTCCGGGATTACGCAGCACATCCTGGTATATTCTGCGACTGCGTGCACTGTTGCTAGGGGGTCGTCTCTGTCCCTCTGGTGGTCATGAAGATGAAGGCCGTAGTCTTCCTCGGCGTTGTGGTTCAACTTCTTTTTTTATTTGGTCATGTTGGCCCAGCGTGAGACAGGAAGGCAGGATGTTGATACACTAGTTTATCAACTTATCAGGAGATGGTTACATGAGCTTTGCAGCAGGGTCTTTGAACAAAAGAGGCACCCAACATGGCTGCCCGAAAGCCCATGCTGGAGAACTGCGTCTCCCGACATGCTCTGGGCACCCAACATGGCCTCCAGGAAGTCCAGTGCCCGAGAACTGCATCTCCCGGCATGCTCTGCGCACCCAACATGGCCTCCATGGTTTGGGTCAATCCTGGGCATGAAGACGGACTAGGAGAAGCACTCTTTGAGAGCAGTCCTGCAGAGAAGGGCTTGGGGGTTCTGGTGAATGAAAAGCTTGAAATGAGCCAGGAGTGCATGCTTGCAGGCCAGAATGCCAACTGAATCCTGGGCTGCATCAACAGAGGAATGGCTAGCAGGTTAAGGGAGGGGATTGTCTCCCTCTATTCTGCCCTTCTAAGGCCCCACTTGAAGTAGTGTGTCCAGGTCTGGGCCTCCCAGAACAAGAAGGATGTTTATATTTTAAGAGCAGGTCCAGAGGGGGCCTACAAAAGTGCTCAAGGGGATGGAACACTTCTCCTATGAAGAAAGGCTAAGAGAGCTGGGGCTTTTCAACCTACAGAAGAGAAGGCTCCGGGGTGACCCCATTGCAACCTTGCAGTACTTAAAGGGGACGTAAAAAAAAAAGATGGGGAACAACTATTCCTAATCAGATAAAGACAGGATAAGGGGGAATGGCTTTAAACTAAAAGAGGTGAGATTTAGATTAGAGGTTAGGAGGAAATACTTCACTTGGAGGGTGGCGAGGCACTGGAACAGGTTGCCCAGAGAGGTTGTGAACGCCTCATCCTTGGTTCAAGACCAGATTGGACAAGGCCCTGAGCAATCTGATCTAGTGAGTGGTGTCCCTGCCTATGGCAGGGTGGTTGGAACTGGATGATCTTTGAGGTCCCTTCCAACCCAAGCCATTCTATGATTTCATGCTGTCGTTCTGTTGATTACTATGTTGGACACTTCATATTTTGAGCTTCCTTTTTTTTTATAAGCTATGTAGGCTTTGGCTGCAGCTCCATAGTGATCAGTGCAGTCTTTCTTCAGGGTATAGATAATTCCCCTTCTTTCTTAATAACTGTAATAGCAATTCCAAGCTGTAAACTACTTTGTCATCCTAAGTTGTCCTTTCTTCTTAGGCTTTAGGTTATATATTAGTGACAAAAGCTTAATTTAATTAAAATACCTGTTTGTATTAGGCGCTGAATTTGAAAACCACTGTGAAAGGGGATACACCACCTACCCTGGCAACCACCAGCTTCTGTAAAAAGGAGGTGAGTGAACCCATTTGTGTAAGGAGAGTTCAAAAAAAAAAAACCACTAAATTCAATTGAGCATAGCACTGTATATCAGTTGTATATATTGTTTATTTACTTTTCTGATTAGATACTATAGCAGCAAAGTTGTAACATATAGTGTGTTAAAGTGATTCTTCAGCCCATAGCAAATGAATAAAGGATGAGCCTGAAGGTAGTAGTACTTCTCATGCTAATGCAAGTCTGGATATTTTTATATCTGATCATATTTCATGAAAGAAAAAAACAAAACAAAACAAAAAACCATAATATGCTCCATAACCAATCATCTTTTGATTATTTTAACATCTTTATCAAGTTTAAAGCAAAATTTAGTTGTGTTTTTATTTCCTGTAACTACATTTTTTTTACAAGGCATAGGAGTGAAAAATGTAAATTACAATTTTCTAGGTGCATCTTATATATAGAAACTTCAGAAGTGCTTGTAGAATTTCAGACTGCAGCTTAATACTGAATATTAGAGAAGAGAGGGGAGAGAGGACAGAACTTAGGAGGTAAGTACAGAGAACACATGACAAAAGAACATTTTTGGGGAAAGGTAGTTTTAGCAGTACCATGTCTAAATATCACAAATGAACCATGAAATGAAATCAAACTGTATATGCATGGTGGTGCATATATTTTAAGTCTGTATTTTAATTGTTTAATAAGAAATTTCCAGGGTTGCACTGAATATCAGCTGCTTGGGTTTTAATTCCAGTGTTCCAAGAGTGTATCATACTTATTAGTCTCCAAATCCAATTGGTAGGGAGAGTATTTCTCTGCAAGAAAATTAGATTTTGTTATTTCAAATTCAAAAAATATACTTTTAAGAAATGTACCCTGCCAAAAGTATTTGCGTGTTCTTACATGTCACATCTCATTCGTGTCTATATGATCAGTATTTCTTAGTATAATTAATATGTATCCCTTATGTTACATCATAGCCTTGGGAGTCCCAATCTTTCTGCAGTAATTTTCCTCATGAAGTTGTCTGTGCAGATTCCTGGGGCCAGTCCTTGCTGGTTTCTACAGACGCTGGCATCTTGTTAATTGATGGTTAGTAAATGATGCTGTGTTCTTGTGTCAATTATTTATGTATCTGACCATTTTCTTCAAAATAAATGTTCATAAGCTCTGTTTAGGTAATTGGTAAGTCCTCACCTGCAAGGAGAGTACCAATCCAAGTGAGTCTATTACATTTATGTAATCTAGCTGCAGATTTTTTCTCTGCATCAGAATTCTTATTTGGAGCCAATTTTTGTGCAGATTTCTGAATGTTTTGTTATTTCAGATGCTGTTATCGTGGCCATCTGAAAAGATTTATGAAGTCAAACCCAAACTCAAGGAGCGTCTGGATTTTTTAGCCCTTGATGATACTAATGAACATGAAGCACAAGGCTTATGTGGTGATGAAAGCCTGTTTCTTCCATAGCAGTGCTTTTACTAGTTTGACCTCTTATCTTCTGTGTGCCACATAAGGCCATTGGGACTAAGGGAATGAAGTTAGTTATCAGTGAAAATTTTCAGACTTTCGAAAGAAAGGTCCCTTTCAGGCTTCAGTTGCATAATTTCATCCATGGCAATGATAAAACACTCCTATAAGGAAGTACTGGTTATGATGCTGCAGCATACATACGAGCTTTGTGCAGAATGTTTCATTTTCATGAGAAAAAACAAGACTTATTTTATTAGAAAGAAATAGTTCAGAACCATTGACTACCAAATTTTAGCAGAATTTTAAAGAAATACGTGTGTTTTCTTTTTTAGATGGTCAGCCATCAGTTCAAGTATTTGATAAAACTCTCCAAATAAAGCAGATGCATGTGTTGGAAGCTCTGGATCTTTTGATTGCCCGAACAGACGAAAGTAGGAAAGGTCCTTGTTATTTTGTTCTTATTTGAATGTCTGTTTAACTGTTTATTTGGCAGACATATCAGTAGAAGGGAATGCCTTAGGTGCTTTTCTTTAAGAGTTGTTTTTGTTTTTTAACTTGGAAGCATGCTGTAGAATTTTAATTCCCACAGCACTAGATTTATATAATCACCTTTTGTCCTTTTGTCACATCACATAGCTATTCTTAATTATTGTAATTAGGTTTTTGAGCTCTGAGTTTATTGTTCTCCTTTTCAGATCTTTCCACTACTTTCCCTTTGCTGATTTCCCCTGTGCTGCTTATGTACATGCCCTATGGCTTTAGGGTTTGTAAGTGTCTTGAGGTAATCATGTTTTTATCAGTGGCAAGTGCATTAGATGCCTCATTTAGAATAAAGGAGTGCATACAACAAGTACTGTTTGTTCTTTGTTTGCTTGTTTTTCTAAAAGGTGTGGAAAAAAATCTCTAGATGCTCAGAATCATGCTTCAGAGCAAACCTGAAACTGGCCATATTGAATCATCAAATGGTTTTGGTTGGAAACAACTTTTCAAGACCTTTTAGTCCGACCTCCCTGCCATGGTCAGGTACATCTTTCAGTAGATGAGGTTGCCCAAAGCCTCATCCAGCCTGACCTTGAACACTTCAGGAGATGGGACATCCACATCTTCTCTGGGCAACCTGTTCCAGTGCCTCACCACTCTCATAGATTGGATAAAGGGAATAAATTCTTTGCTAAATCTACCGTCTTTCTGTTTGAAACTATTACGCCTTGTGCTGTCACTACGTGCCCTTGTAAAATGTCTCTCTCTCTCTCTCTTTTTTATAAGCCTCCTTTAAGTATTGAAAGGCCACAATAACGTCTCCTCAGAGCCTTCTTTTATCCAGGTTAAAAGAACACAGCTTTCTCAGCCTTTCTTGTAGGTGTTCCAAGCCCTCTTATCATTTTTGTGACCCTTCTCTGGATCCACTTTAACAGGTCCATGTGCTTCTTGTGCTGGGCGCACCTGAGCTGAACACAGTACTCCAGGTTGTATCTTACAGGGGCAGTGTGAAGTGGGGGAGTATCACTTCCCTCGACCTTCTAGGCCACACTTCTTTTTGTGCAGCACAGGATATGATTAACTTTCTGGGCTGAAGGTAGACATTACTGGCTCATGTCAGATTTGTCATCCACCAGTATATATTTGGTCTCCAGCTACTCTTAGAACTCAACACGCTGGAAATCTCCCTAGCTGAATAATGTGTTTGTTCAGTTGTACAAAAACGTGGAGGAAATTACTTATGCTGTCACTGTTCTACCAAATGTGTTACTGGTTTTTGTTCTGTGATGTGTAACTGTAATACACAATAAATGTTTGTTCATTGTCTTTTGTAAAAACAAGGAGTTCTGTTTGAGGAACGGGAGTTGTGAAAACTCCCTGCTGAAGTAAGGAGCTGTATAATGCTTAGCTAGACACTATGAAAATTCCTTTGCTTAATGTAACAAAAAAGAGAACCCTCTCCCCTTCTCTCCTTCTGCATCTCAGTAGCCTCTTTTGTTCAAAAAAACACTGCTGCAAAGTTCATGTAACCATCTCCTGATAAGTTGTTAAACTAGTGTATCAACATCTTGCCTTCCTGTCTCAGGCTGGGCCAACACGACCAAATAAAGAAAGAAGTTGAACCACAACGCCGAGGAAGACTACGGCCTTCATCTTCACAACCACCAGAGGGACAGAGACGACCCCCTAGCAACAGTGTGCACAGTCGCAGAATATACCAGGATGTGCTGCGTAATCCCGGAATTACCAAGATATAAAAAGGGACCCTGGCGGGGGGTGAGGTGCGCGCCGTTGGCGGAGCCGAGACTCCCCGGCCGCCCAGCGCTGTTTTGCTTGCTGTTGCTTACTCAATAAATTCCTTTCTATTATTAATGCAATGCTGTCTGAAAATTAATTAAGGGGGCAACTTATAACAAATTTGGTGCTGTGACTCGGATGAAGGCAATCTGATTGAAAGACCTTTGGAGGGGGCGCCCCGCTGATTTCAGCGGCCTTCGCTAGGATTACTTTCATTCAAATCCTTCACCGACGAACCCTAAATTCGGCAGCAAGCAAATAAAGCCGGCAACCCCTAGTAATCTTTGTGCACGAAGACCGAACGAAGACTCAGGAGTGAGTAAGTATAGGCCGGTGATCTGTTCAGTTGGGGTTGGGTATCCTGGAGCGTAGCGTTGTGAGACGTCCAATTGCGGACAAAGCGAGTGCGGACCCCTCGGTAGTGCGGTTCCCACATCCCGCGAGGGACTGGGCCATGAAAAGGGGGAAGCGATTTGTGTGTGTGTGTGTGAAGGCGCTCCAGAAGATGGGACAGAAGAAGAGTAAGCCTTCTGGTCCCATGGGCGGGGTAACGTCTGATGTTAGGTTACCCCGGGATTAATGATTAAAAATTGGGATGATTCCCCTTTTAGGCGGGGAAGCAATAAAGTAAAAATGATATATTATTGTGTTGAAGTTTGGGGTGGTAAACAGATTCGAGGAGACCACCTTTACTGGCCCGTATTTGGGTCCTTTGAAGATTGGGTTTGCCAGGCCCTAAATATTTATGTAAACTCAAAGGAACCTTTTAGTTTGGAAGAAAGTGAATATACACATTTGTGGATCAGCTCAAAAACTCGAGCCAATTTATATCGTCTAAAAGAAAAAGGAGGGAATGGGAGGCACAAGAAAAAACGAAAATTAGAGATCCCAGCCCCACTGCCTCCCTATATTTCACCACCACCATCTGCAGCCCCTCTGACTCCCGGGCTTCCTAATCCGCAACCCCAGGGAGACTCTGATAGCGACTCTGACTCTAGCACTCAGGGACCAGTGACTAGGAATATGTGGCCGTCCACATTAACTCCGGGGACGTCCGAGATTTTAAGAAAGACAGGAGGAGCGTAAGCGAGCTTTAATGGCAACTGGCATAATGTTTCCAACTGCTGAGGAATAGTTGTAACTGGAATAATAACTGTACATTGTATATTGTATATATAAAAGCCCGGGCATTTTTGTTAAAGTGTTCTTTTATACATATGTTAATATGTAAATATGTAAATATAAGAACTGCCATTGAGGTGTATGTCTAAGGGAACAAAATTTGCCCAGGCATATTATCGGCTCATCAGGTTTAAATGTTCCCAGTGTAATTGTCTACAGGCAATTAATTTACAGTGGTCTGATTTTACTTGTGTATCTATATATTGTGGATTTTGGAGGGATTGGGATTGACTAGTAAAGAGCTTCTAGGAAAACGGTGGAATATTAACCACTGCAGATTACAATAGGAAAAGTTCAAAGCAAAGAAATCCCGAGGAAAAGCCCCCTAGGATGTATACTAACTAACACATTGGAGGGATATAGTGGGGTGAGCGTGTACAGAGAGTAAAAGAACTCTTATCAAATATTGTAATCAGTGGTGGCCACTTTATAAACTAGAGGATGGAGCGGAGTGGCCCCTAAATGAAAGTATTAATTATAACACCATATTACAGTCAATGTTGTTTTTGTGGAAAGAAGGAAAACAGGATGAAATGTTGTATATTGATGTTGTTTCAGCATCTTGGAGGGAAAAGGTACGGAATTAAGTTGGCCCCTGACTGAGCCTTTGATGTCGGCATTAGAAAAGTAAAGGCTAGAGAAAGATAAAGGAAGTGTTAAAAGGTTTGTTGAAAGTGTTAAAGGTATTCGAAGTTGAATGAGCAGGGAAAGGTGATGTAGGCATTATCTAAGTAACAGTCTAGAAGTTTTGGTATATTTGCATATTTGCTGTGGTGTTTGTTCAGTTTCCCAAGCATCGGGGAGGGGGACGGTGGGGGGGGAACAGCCTGCTCCACCAGGGGCCTCTCCAGCGGCCGCAGGGGGGCTTCGGCTCCAGCACCTGGAGCGCCTCCTCCCCCTCCTTCTGCACTGACTTTGGTGTCTGCGGGGGGGTTTCTCACTCTCCCAACTGCTGTTTCTTGTAAAGTATCAGGGATTAAATTAACTAATGAAGCCCCAAATGTGATGGGGGTAGAAGGGACTGGGATAACAGTGCCACTTTTGGGGGATACCAAGCTGAGACTAGAGGATAAAATGATCACTGGGCAATTATTGTATGTATCCAAGGCAGAGACTAACTTGTTGGGAAGGGATTTGGTGATTAAATTGGGCATTCAACTAGTAAATTGTTAGACTGGAATAACAGTGTTATTAATGGAGTGCTCTCTGGCCCTGAGAGCAAACATACATGTATATTCACCTCTGACTGGAAAGACCCTGAAATGGGGGCGGAAGCAACAATATAGGTGGACAATTTTACCTCAGGGGTTTACAGGGCCACCTATCTATTTGGGTAAATTCTAAAAAAGATTTTGGAGCAATTACAACCTCCCAAGGAGGTATTAATGTTACAAATATGTGGATCATTTTAAGGAAAATCGATACTTCCTGATGGGAGAGAAATGCTGAATAAAGTGATAATGAGGCAAATATTAACTGTTTTACATCAGAAGAGTCATTGGGAGGTGCAAGCAATGTGTGATGTTGTTCTAAGAAAGCATGTTTGTGTAGGAATATATACTTTAGAGAAGCACACATGCAGAGGATGTACTATATGTCAAAAGGTAAATAAAAAGGTCTTCTGTAACCTATCTAGAGGGGGACGGGAGCCAGGGCTTTGACCTTTCCAAAGTATACAGGTAGACTTTACTGAGTTACTTGTTTGTCCTAATTGACCACGTGACTGAATGGGTGTAAAGCTTTACTGCAAGGATCAAAGCAGGCCTTAGAGATTGAGTGGGATTTTCACAGCCCTTGGCACCCCTCCTCTTCTGGAAAGGTAGAGCGAATGAATGGTGAAATTAAGAAACAACTAACAAAACTTGTGCTGGAAACTAAGGCTTCTTGGGTAAAATGCTTACCCCTTGCACTGTTAAACATACGGACACAGCCCAGAACTGATGTAGGAATTTCTCCTTTTGAAATGCTATATGGTATACCCTATGACTTGGAATTGCCACTTGATCACCCTCAATTCTAATTAAGACTTGGAAAGAGACTGCTTTAACACCACGATGGGGAAGGCCCCTATGTTGTTTTGCTTACCACAGAAACGGCTATTCGAACTGCAGAGAAAGGATGGACGCATGCCAGCCGTGTGAAAGGACCAATCCGGGAAGGTAAATGGGAGGCAGCTCCAGGCCCTGACGACTTGAAGCTGACACTAAGACGGACTCGATAAGTATTTTATATTATCTGTGTATCGTGGGAAGGGGAGGAGGCCCTGTTTCAAAGGCTCCCTAGTAGGTTCCCCTGAAGAACACTGCTGCTGCCAAGAAGAACCGATACCTTGTAGTTCGCTGCAACCGAACTGACAAGTGAGGCAGAGAAGTGAAAACGGTGGGGGACTGAGGGGCTGACAATTTAGATGGGCTCCAACCACCTCCTACGATACATGGGAGTCAGTATCATCGTTTTGGTCAGCTATGGGTCTGCGCATCCCCATCAGCCTTTTAAATGGAGCTTGATCAGATGGAAGGATCAATTCGTTATCCAGCAAACAACGACAGCGGGTGCTCCCAGTTTCCGCATCACATTATGTGACCTGGTGTCAGTGCAGCCATGCTTTAACCGATCAGGATTTTATTTCTGCCCAAGTTCTAACCCAGGAAAGGGGTACTGTAATTACCCAAACATGTATTATTGTGCATACTGGGGGTGTGAAACCATTGCTATGGACTGGACACTCGGGGCTGGTCGGAATAAATTCTTACAAGTGGGATATGGGCCGCAAGGTTGTAACCAACAAGCAGGTCCCCGTTACAGGTGGTGAGGGCATGGTATAGGGTATACAGGAACTTTCCATGGAAATAAAGAAATTTGCAAGGTTCTATATATAAATATAACAAACTTGGATGATACTAGCTGGGTGCTAGGAAAAATGTGAGGTGTCAGATTTTACAAACACAGAACAGATAGGGGAGGACTCATACTAATAAAAAGGAGGATGCTGATAGGCCCCAGGCAGTAGGACCAAATGAGGTATTGTCAGAAAATGTCCAGGGAATCCAGCCTGCGGAAAATACTACACTTCCAACCCTCGGCAGCCCTACGAGCTCAGGTGAAGCCGAGAATTATAACATAGCTGAGAATAACATATGGGGGGGTCATGAATGCCAGCTACCAATTATTAAACAAAACAAACCCAAATGTAACAAAACACTGTTGATTATGCTTTAGTATAAGGCCTTCATATTATGATGCTATTGGGAATCCTGGGGAGCCCTCCCGCACAAACGAGAACAGCCCTCTACATTGCAGTTGGGGAAAAGACATAAGGGTAACACTAACATAAGTCACTGGAGGTGGTAGGTGTGTGTGCACGGTTCCTAGTGGGAAGTGTCACCTATGTAATATCATGGAGAATGGAAAACAATCAGCCAAGTGGTTAATCCCAGCCAACAACGCTAGGTGGGTTTGTTTGTGAGTGGGCATAACTCCTTGTCTATCACTAAAACTCTTTAATGCGTCTCATGATTTCTGTATACAGGTGATAATTATACCAAGGATTCTATACCACCCTGAGGATTATATGTACACCCAGACACAGTGGAAAGTCATCATCTGGAAAGATGGGAACCATTCACGGCTCTAACTTTGGCCACCCTAGTAATCCTGGGAGGAGCTAGAGTGGGGACCAGGGTAGCCTCATTGGTTAAACAAAATCAAGAATTTACTTCTTTATGCATTGCTGTGGACGAGGACCTGACCCAAATTGAACAATCCATCTTGGCCCTGGAAAATCTATCAGGTTGCTTTCAGAGGTAGTGTTACAAAATCATAGGGGATTAGATTTGGTATTCCTTTTACAACAGGACAGGCTGTGTGCAGCCCCGAAAGAGGAATGCTGTGTGTATGCTGATCACACTGGAGAGGTAAGAGATACAATGGCAAGACCCAGGGAAGGGTTGAAAAAAAAAAGGAAACGGGAGAATGAAGCCCGACAGAGCTGGTACGAATCTTGGTTTAATTATTCACCTTGGCCTACTAGTTTATTATCAACAATAACAGGACCTTTGTTGTTCTTAATAATAGCACTAACTTTTGGACCATGTATTTTTAATAAATTGATTGCGATTGTAAAGGGACATTTAGAAGCGGCACATTTAATGCTCATACATGCCAGATACGAGCCAATAAGTACCAACGAAGGAATCGAGGAAACATTAGTTCTTAGTAACCAGGCATTGCCGAAATTCAATGAACAAAATGAGTAACTAAAAGAAAAAGGAGGGATTGTAATACACAGTAAATGTTTGTTCATTGTCTTTTGTAAAAACAAGGAGTTCTGTTTGAGGAACGGGAGTTGTGAAAACTCCCTGCTGAAGTAAGGAGCTGTATAATGCTTAGCTAGACACTATGAAAATTCCTTTGCTTAATGTAACAAAAAAGAGAACCCTCTCCCCTTCTCTCCTTCTGCATCTCAGTAGCCTCTTTTGTTCAAAAAAACACTGCTGCAAAGTTCATGTAACCATCTCCTGATAAGTTGTTAAACTAGTGTATCAACATCTTGCCTTCCTGTCTCAGGCTGGGCCAACACGACCAAATTAAGAAAGAAGTTGAACCACAACGCCGAGGAAGACTACGGCCTTCATCTTCACAACCACCAGAGGGACAGAGACGACCCCCTAGCAACAGTGTGCACAGTCGCAGAATATACCAGGATGTGCTGCGTAATCCCGGAATTACCAAGATATAAAAAGGGACCCTGGGGGGGGGTGAGGTGCGCGCCGTTGGCGGAGCCGAGACTCCCCGGCCGCCCAGCGCTGTTTTGCTTGCTGTTGCTTACTCAATAAATTCCTTTCTATTATTAATGCAATGCTGTCTGAAAATTAATTAAGGGGGCAACTTATAACATAACCACATTCTGGTGCTATAGATTATATTCTCTTAAATATTCTGGTATAAAAAAAAAAAAAAAAAAAACTTAAAACCCATCTGTCCAAACAACTTTTTTTTTTTTTTACCCTCTTTTCAAAAGGATTAAATGTCCCTAAAATATGCACTTCTTCAGTTAGGTACTTTTTACCCAAAAGTCTGTGAAGTGAATACGCACAGTGCAAGAACAGGATCTGTATGTGTAACACAGATAAAATAATTAGAAATCTGGTTGTTTTATTGTTTTTTACCACATTATGTCTGTTTGCTCAATATTAGCTGAAGTGACATTTACCCAAGCTAAGGGTAAAATGTGGTTCTTTTCATATCATTGGGAGTTGCCCATTTTGGCTGGACCTGATGAAATTCATCCTGGAACCCTTGCAGAACCAGCTGAGATTACCTGAGAGTCATTTGCAGTCATCTCTGAAGACACCTGGCGGGTGGGTGACATTTTTGAAGATCTGAAAAGGGGAGTTGTATCTGAAGCTTAGTTTATGAAACTTCTAGAATAGATAATTGCATTTAATAGTCAAAACGCTGTGATGATTGGTTAAACCTGAAGAGAGAGATGTTACAAGCCATTTTGAGGTAACAGGATTAGGCATTACTGGCATCAATTCATGATGCTTCAAGCATATTTTGATAAAGAGTTTTTGTGTAAAAAGTTGAAGAGATTTTTGACTGCTGTTGTGGGTGCTTTCTGAATCATTTAGAGGAGAGAAAGGTCTTTTGTTCTTGCTAGTATCCTTGCCTCTTGTTTTGTATTTGTATACCATATTGAAACTGAGATCTGGAGTGGAAGTTATCATTGCCCTTTATTTTCAGACTATGCCTTAGTCTAGTTAAATGTTAGATGGGTAAAAGCAATCTTATATTGGGTGTACAAATTGGTATTAAAGACTATATGGGTTTTTAGGATACAATAATATATTAAAAGGTTAATTTTGTATGTACTTTAAATGTGTCCTTCTGATGTACTTCAAGTGCATCGATGTAGAACTGGTATTTTAAGACTCAAGCAGAAAGACTGATGTTTGTGTTATGAAAATGTTCATATAGAATGTGGTATTATCCAGCACTCAGTTCTAACAACCAGGTTTGAGATCACTTTAAGGTAGCTCATTTCAGAAGAAAATACTGTTTCTACTGCTTTCTAGTACCCTCTGCATTTCTGGGAGAGAGGAAATGTTAACAGTGAAACTAGAACTGAAGATAATGCTATCACTGAGATTTTTCAGGTCAGCATACCAAAAGAAGGGGGTATTTCAGGCACCAACAATACATCTGGTATTAATGACAGATGCAGAAATCGCTTTGGTAGCAGTGCTCTCTTTTCTAATGTTAATTAAATTTGACTTAGTAATGAGAGATGAGTTATAGAAGTGGATCCACTTTGTCCTCCAAACATGTTTGTTTATTTTTTTGCTACAACTTATTTTGTGAAACACTTAGACATGGTGAGGGGGAAGGAGGAAGAGCTCCTTCACTTGGAATAATCAAGTCTGTAGGAGGTGAAGAAAAACTCTCTTAAAAAAAACGACACCAAAGAAAAGCTTGGATGATAGTCAGTTTCATGAGCAGCCACAGATGTAACACCGCAGTGGGGTTATTTGGACATTTGCAAAACAACTAGTATCCTGAAAGAGGAACGCATTGAGGAGTGCAATCTCTAGGATGCATCCTATAGGACACACCTGACAAAGAGACAGAGCTGAATTAATGAGTAGTAATGCTGTTCTTGAACATTTGATTTAGCTTATGTTTTCTAGCCTTCCTTTCAAAAGGGTGAATTTTGCTTGCCATTCTTCCTCCATGAACTCATTCATGGAAGCACGCATTCTTGTATGTACGTTCTTGAAAAGAGAGAGATTGCATATATTTCATTTTCCTTTTATCGGTGTTGACAGTAAGAATTTGTTGGTTGATCAGTGTTTCAAGTTGTGGTGGACTTAAGGAAACATTGCATCTTCTTTTCTCTTACACTTTCTATGGGAAAAGAAGGCCATAAAGGTTCCAGAAGCTGGATTCATGTTTATCTATTATCAGAATTGAAGGCAGCACATGTGATCTTGCTTTTGTATTTATGGTTGGATCCACACTGACTATACATGTATATTAAGAAAGCGTGCTTATGTTTCCAGCTATACCAGCTGGACTAGTAAGAGAGTATACTTTTGTCAGAAAATCTTGTTTTACTTCCATTCTAAGAAACTTGGTTTTTAGTTAAGAAACTACTCTTAACAATAGCTTATTTCCAACTGCAAATAGTAGTGTATCATTTATTTATTTATTTATTTTAAATTTCAGAGTTGTGTATTCCACTCATGTCTATCTTTGTGGAAAAAAAAACATTTAGCCGTGGTGGTGGATTCTGTGCTATTTTTGCAGTTGGAATATGCCTTGAACCTAACTTGCCTAACGTTGAAGAACTGATAAGCAAAACCAGTCCGCATCCAAAAGGTTTTCAGACTCTGTTAAGGATCCAGGTATCAGCTGCTAGGCTGGATGGTTCCAGAATTTAAAGTTAACCCTTCTTCTCTTGCCTTTAGTTTGTATCTGTCGTATTTTCACCGTCTCCTAGCAGTGTAGGTTTCACTGTTTTGAGGCTCCTATTATTTATTGCCGCAGCACCATCTGATGGGAAACTCTGCTAGTGAACTGAAAGGGTTGCTTACTGGAACTGTAGAGTCTAGATAGAGTTCACAAGCAGTCTTCCTGTCACATTGCTGCTTACACTCAGAGAAGCAAAATTGTTTAACTTTGCTTTTATGGCAATGCTGTCTGTTAGGTGATTCATCTCTTTGGAAGTATTAATTTCAAACCACCACTGTCTTTTTCTAATTTGCTGTTTCACGACTTTCTCCATCTTCAGGAAAAGACTCTCGTCTCCTTGTCTTCAGATTGAGTGCTGTCCAAAAAGATATAGAAACAAAGCAGATGATAAGAAGCAAATATGACTGCAGAGAAAATAAATTGGAGAGAACAAAAGGTAGCTTTATTATCTTGTATTAAAAGTGTCCACTGTGGTATTGTGCCAGTAGTTGCCAGGGTTTATTAGCTCCCTTGAGGCTGTTGTAGGTATTCACCTTTAGTTTTATCCCTGGACAGTTAATTCAAACTTTAAGCTTATGTGTGAAAATAACATAGGGTACAGTCCAGCCTATCATTTGAGAACTTGGTAAAAAAATACCATGTTACTTGGCAATCACTGCTGATGAAAAGCTCTGGTGAAAAACAGATATGTTGCTTTCAGGATTGAGGGGTGTAAGAAAAATTACACATGGATGTAAGACTGAAATAAAGGTCACTGTGAGGTAGAAGAACAATGGCAAATCTTTTTTAATTAGTAATGCTTAGAATAGTTTGGGTATTGCAGATTATTTTAGTAGATGTAAACATTTTCCGATATTCAGCATCAAGCTTCCTTGGAAAGCTGGAAACTGCAGAATAGTAAAGAAAAAAACATATTTACTCTTTTACTTGCAAAAGGAGTAAGGGGGAAAATTGTTTTCAAAAGAGTTCCTGCCTCTTGTCTTTTTCTAGAATTTAATATTACCCTGTTGGGATGTTTGTAATTGTGTGGTGCTCAGGTATCAGATACCCATTGTACTAACCATCATACAAATACAGAACAAAAATAAAAAAATTAAAAAAAAAAAAACAGTCTTTACCCCAAATACTTACAACCTAAATTGTTTTTTTTCTTAGGCTGCCATTTGCATGCCATTAATACTCGCCATGGCAGTGAACTGAGGATTGTTGTGGCTATTCGGAACAAACTACTTCTCATCACAAAGAAATACAATCCATACAACAGTTTAACCAGTAGCTCTCTGCTGTCATTACCTGAATCTCCAGTAGACGAGTTCCAGTACATCTGGGTATGTGTAATCTAATCACTAATCACTTTTACAGACTGGGCAGCACTCAGCTAGTGGAGGAAAAAGGCAAAGAGCATGCATTTTATCGTCTGGAACCTCCAGACAGATGTAAGTGAGAAGCAATATGATGGAGATCCATCATTGATATGCCAAAGAAATATTTCAGACTTCTTAAATTGTCATCTTGTTCTGTATCATGCTTCTCTGCTTAGATTACATCCTTGTAAATTCATGGAGTAGTTCAATATTCACACTAAGAGCCTGAAAAATAGAATAATACTATTATTTATCTCATAGGAAATATGCCTTTCTGACCCTCCAGTGGTTATGACACTGGTGGATGGACCGACTGGAGACAGTGACGATATGATCTGTGTGGCGTATCGGCATCAGTTTGATTTAGTTAATGAAAGTATTGGGGAGTCCTATAGACTGCATCATGTTGAAGCAAACAAAGTAAATTTCTAGCATTTAAACTATTTTCTTGCAGAATTGGTCCATGCTGTGCTGGCCTCCTGGGAGCAGCATTTACGGAGATCCTCTCGTCTCCTTTACTTTTCACTTTTTTAACTTCTACTTTAGAGTACTCTGAGGCATTTTTTCCTTTTGGAATGTGTGATAATAATCACTCCTAGGAGAGGAGTGGAGTTATAAGGTATGATATATTAGGAAAGAGCCTGTGTTTCAAGCTCTGGAATATTGCTGTCAGTATAAATGCAAAGCCATTTTTTCTCCTTTCTCAGTCAATATTTTGATTTTTGTCTTTTCTTCATGGTCTCAGTGTTTTATTCTTTAGGAGGTTGCAGCAAAATAAATTCAGGTTTTGGCCACCATTATCTCATTCAGATTTGCCTATTTGCATGTACTAAAACTGAAATATTTGTGTATATCTTTTAGTTCTAAACTGCTGCCCAGCCAAGTAATACATTAACTGTATCTTACTAACTGGGACATAGGGTTGGGATTTAAGTAAACATCCTGATTTTTGGAAAAGGGTTCAAATGTTTCCTGTTGCTGAGAAGATAATGATCTTCAGCATTTTGAAAATCAAATAATTTCAATAATTTCTTAATATGGATGTGAATGTATAGCTTTAAGTGTAATTTAAAAAAAAAAAAAAAGAACCTTTTACAGGGTTACTCTTGTGTTCTGTTGACTTCTCTGCTCATAATGGTATAAGGGACGTCTCTTTTGATTTGATGCTTCTTGTTGATTTTTTTTTAAATCATCTGTGTTTTTATTCAGATTTGATGATGAAGAGGGTTGGTACTCCTAGCATTGGCAATACAGTGTTAAGATTCTCCACAGCAATGGGAATCTATTTTAATCTGGATTAAGAAGGAAATACAATTAAAGAATGTGGACAGTCAAGAATCGCCCCCCTCTGTTCTCTTCCCCATTAACCCTTATTTCCTTTGAGAACACAGACAAAGCAGGAAGTTAATTAGACCTGTGCCAGTGATTTTTGTGTTGTTGAAATTGGTTACCAAATTATTTCCACAGGTCACAAAGCAGAAATGTCTTTCAGTTGCTACAAAGGATAGGTCAAAATGTGTTTTGTATAGATATATATAAGTTTCCAGATCTGATTAACAGTTCTTGCCTTATATTTGTCTTAAATCAAGAGAACACCTACTTTATTGCACAAAGGAAAGCCATGAAGTTCATGAAGTCAATCTCCAGCCCTGCCCAAGTAGCAAATAATGTGGTCTAGGAGACATTTGTCTAATCCAGTCTTAAGTATTTCATCAGGGAGGTCTCCTTTTCTGAATGTATATACTACTACTTATGGGTGTCTTGTTTTTCTTTTAATTTAACTGTAAAAGACAAATACAGGATTAAAGTATGAGAATATAAGTAGCCTATGCTATGCAAAAACCATTTTAGTTTATCCAGCAGTGGTTCTCAGTTTCTAAATTCAGCTTATTCAGTAATTCTTGAAGTACATCCACATCAATCAATGTACCTGTTAGTGGTTTTGATCCAGTAATTGGCACTTTTGATCTTTCTGCTAGTCATGATTTTCAGTCGAGCTTTTTAGATTTCAGTTTTTGGAAAGAATTGCTATTTTTAGCATAGCATGTTAATTCAAAGCTACCCTGAAATAACTCAGTTTCCCAAAATTTATATTGTCAAGTAAGTTAGGTATGTTTGTATCATTTTATACTGTAGGTATGTATTTATACTGAAGTTACAAAATTGAATATGCATTACTGAAATACAGCATTGAATACAAAAGAAATTGATTTCCATCCTATCAGCATCCTGAAAATGAATCACAAAAAATAAAAAGTTTTTTTTTTTTTTCTTTTCTTTTATCTGTAATTGTGCACCAACTGATTTGATTGCTTCTTAGTCAAAACCTGGTCATAGTAACATCAGTATCCTATCTGCCTGATCATTACCCTTTCCTGTTATCATTGCAGGTAAATTTTGTTGCAGCTATTGATGTATATGAAGATGGTGAAGCTGGCCTACTGTTATGTTATAACTGTAAATAGTTAGGGAAGACTGGAAATGATAATATCTCAACATGTAATTCTTTCTTCATTGGAGTTTAGATCTGTATTTTAAAGTTTCAGTGTTTCATGGAAAGTATTTCAAAATACATTTTTTTTTCAATTTAAGCGCATATTAGAAGGACTAGAAATGGAAGTACTGTTTTATTGTGGTGTGTGTAATTGGACAGACGTTACCATCTTACTCACAAAAGTCCTATTTCTTCAGATCTATCTTATTCTTTGCCTAGTCTCACACTGGGTGTTTCTAGGACATGTACAAATTAGTATTCCACCCCTTTTTTTCTTTGTGCTTTCCCATTCTGTCATTGTGCTTTCTTTCCTTCTGCACACTTATTTGTGCTAGCACATTTTAAAATTGTAACTCTCTTAATCTCTTTTTATAAAACGGCCTTGGATTTAATATGCATATGCTCTTCTGTGCTGTACACATGTAGTTTTGCTTTCAGTCCTCAGGAAAATCAAAGTTATGAGTATGAAACGTCCTTTATGAGGTGATGCTGAAGGACAAAGCACAGCTTTCTGTTTCAGATGGCATGTCCTATTTGCCTTTCCAAAGAGAGCATTGATGGAAACAGGATAAATACATCTACGTATTCTAGCATTGGCCGTTAGATTGGTACCACAGGGAAAAAGTCTCTAAAGTGTATCTTTGTATGCTCTGTGAGGCCTCATTGGTTTCGGTAGTTTAACAAATCCTACCTAGTTCTGGTTCACTCAGTACTGCTTCAGAACTAAAAGGTCTGAGACAGAGTAGTGTGAATTCCCAAACCTGTACTTCTGTGCAGAATCAGTCCTACTCTAGTAGGCTCATCACAGAGCCAAAGCTAACAAACTTGGTTGATCCTAAGGTCCTAAAGCCTGTTGCACAGGGTTGCAGCAACTTGAATCCCTATTTGTAGGGCCGTGTCACAGGGAAACCTCTTTTGGTCTTGTGACAGTTTTACAATTATGAAAGTATCATCATGGAACAAGTATGAAAACACATGATTTGACAGTGTTCTATGTTTGGGTTTCAAACAAGACCTTTCTTTTACACTTGTGGATATAAAGTTATTTTAAGTTTAAGGACACCAATTACAGAAAAAAAAAAAAAAAAAAAAAAAAAAAAAAAAAAAAAAAAGGATTTTACCTAAAAATAGAGAAGTAGTAGATTCACAAGTTATATGATTAATGAAATCTTGGTATCTGTAGTATCCCATGTGTAGTACAATCCTCAGAGAACACAAACTGTGCTAGTATGTGGCTGCTTGAAGGGTAGTTCTTACAGTCAGAGGGGTACAGCTCTGCTTACATCACTTTCAGAAATGTTCTTAACTATTCCTCTATCCATAGACAAAGTAAAGAGCTGATGATTGCTGAAACAGAACAATACTTACTTTGTGAAATCTGACAAGTTGTTAAAATGTAGCTCTACTATTTGTATCTTGTAAATGTATTCACAAAGGAAGCACATTTCCCTTATGGTCTGTTTAGATATAGAGGGACTTCTACATAAGTGTTTGATATTTATCTGTGTATTACCCACACTTCTGTAAAATCTACCTATAATGTTGGTGTTTGTCATTTGTGCTGTAAGATATTGGAGGTTTCTTTTTTTCCTTTTTTTGTTACAGATGTTTGCCAATATAGAAAGGTGGATCCTTTTAATGGAGGTTCTCCACTCATCCAGTCATCGGCTTTCTAACTTTCTAACTTTTAAACTAACTTTCAATTTAGCTGGAATCAAGTTCCTTATGCTGTTGGTAAGAACATTCCTCTTTTACCTTTTTTTCATTACTATTTAGGCTTGCACTTGGCTGTTGGTAGAATTGCAGAATGTGTGCTAGGAATATATAAGAATAAATATAAAATTAAAAATAATTTAACATACATACATCTATTTTTAATATAATAAAATTTAATAAATATGGATTAATAAATTCCTATAAATAAGAATTTCTTCATGGAGAGGGTGGTTAACCATTAGAATGGACTGCCCAGGGAAGTGGTGGAATCCCTATCCCTGGAGAGGTGTTGACATAACACCAAGGTGTTGAAGGATTTTTTGAAACAGCAAAAATCCCATGGCTTGCTGCAGCTGAGCAAACCAAGCTACCAGGGCAACTATGAGAAGTTCCCATGACAGTGTTCCCACATCGACCAATTGAGGAATTTAGAAAAATATTGCTACCAGCCTCTGGCTTCAAGGACAAGGTCTACGTGACTGCTAATCACAAGAGGGGTTGTTTTCTTGCAAGTGGGGTAGTTTTCTTGTAGTTGTTTGTCTGAGTGCTTTTGACCAATAATTTTGTGTGAAACACTATCCACCCCTGTTAAGTTCACTATAAAAGGCTAGTCGGGCAATAAAATGGAGCATGATCTGACTCTACTGGTGTCTGTCGTGCTTTCAGCCGTGCTTCCTGCAACACCAAGGGACATAATGATGGAACTTGGTAGGTCAGGTTGATTGTTGGACTTGAAGGTTTTTTCCAACCTAGATGATTCTGTGATTCTCTAAGCGTGTTGCATTCATGATGCCACTTCAGCTAAGATTCTGCATATGGTATCTTTAATAAGTAGAGCCTTGGGGCCAAGTTTTTCCTCTGATAAACTTGTTTTTTCCTTTCTCTTTTTTCTGTTTTTTATTTTCCATTCAGTTTATATTCTGCCAGTCATGGAGAGTGACGTTTTCTTCAGGCTTGTATCTGAATGTCCATCAGTACAGTAGACAAATTTTGTCATAGGAAAGGGAGATACCAGAGTAGGTCAGATACTCAAGAATTGTTTTCAGGGAGCATCTGAGAAACATTTACATTAATCATTCTTCGTTGAAAAATAATTTTTGTTTCATTGCAGTCTGCGCTTTCCCTTCTATCCTTGCCTTCACTACTGATTCCATTGAGATCCAATTAGTGGTGAGTGGAAACTTAGTCCACACAGCATTTGTGCCTGAGCTTCAGCTTGTAGCATCAAGAGTAAGACACGAGAAGAGCATGTTTGACTATTTGTGAGGTGTTGGGACCTAATTCACATAAACAGTTGCTGAAGCCCAAACCAAACCAAAACTGACACATTTTCTGATTTGCATTAACTGTTAATTTGTCTGATCTTAGCTTGTAGTGAGTACAGTGAGAATCAGAATTGATCTAACTGTCCTTTATTGCTTGCAGTAATGCAGAGCTGAAGTATTTGATTATTTACAGGGCAAATGCTCTTCTGAACATCACAGAAGTTCTCCCCATTTACAGTGAGATAGCCTTTCTGTGGCCAGCTGTAGTTAACTTAGCAGCAATACAGCAACAGTGGCAATAGAACATAGTGGGCAAACATTTAAGCTCTTCTTCAGCAAGTGTTTAAGAAAGTTTTGCTGTACTAATGATGAGTTCTTTGTGATTTCAGTCAGATATTTATTTGAAAGCTACTGCTGCAGTAAGGGGATCATCTCATAGCAGTTCTAAGGAAATGAGTTCAAGTTCTCCTCAAGCACCGACGGCTTATGAAATACCAGAATGTCCTCTTTCTTCTTGAGAAGGTAACATGGTTTCCAGGATGCTTGAAGCTTTGATTATTATCTTTAGTAAAATGAAATCAATCCGTTAAAAGATTTTGTTTTCATGGCTGAGAGTCTGGAAGATGGAAACCTTATCCAGAGATCTGAAACACCTGGCTGAGCTTTTGCCCCATAGTATCTCTTCTGAATGCACAGCAGCACTGTTTTGAAGAAATCATGTCTGTAGGAGGGGAAGAATTAATCTTCACTACCTTAATGAGCCTTTGGCAATATGGCCAAGACTATAAAGCAAAAAGAGGTATAAAGTTATGGGAAAACTTTCAGACTTCACATATGCCATTCCTTTCATTTATGAACAGCTAATTAATTCATGATAGCTAATTAAACTAATGAAAACTAAAGGCAAGAAGTATTTATAGTCTCAAAAGAGTTAATAAATTTAAAGTTAATAAATGCACAGTAAATTTGGTGTAACATGATCTGTGAACAATCGATCTACAGGGATAAATAATAGAGAAACAAAGGAACACCAACTAGATAATGCAAGATGTATGTAGATCTTGTTCATTTAGATGTATTTAAATCTGCTGCTGCACTGTTGACAGAAGAGGAAAAGAGAAAGGAATCTGAATTTCAGTTTTTAAGACAGGCAACATGCTTTTTCTCAGTAAGCCAAGTTGTCAGTCTGCAAAATGTGGACGTATTTCTTCCTCCTCCTAGCCTATTTATAGTGAAAGATACAGTACAAGGAAGATCTTTGTTACTTGGGTTAAAAAGCACCCCACATAACGTTTATATCTTTTCTGTATAACTTTTCATTGGAAGTATTTAGAACTGATACTGGTAAGAAAGTGTAACGTTCTTTTTTCCTTCTGCATTTCAGGTGAAGTTCCAGGCTGGAGTAGTGGGCCCACGTGAACCTAATGAGGTTCAACAAGTCCAAGTGCAAGGTGCTGCACCTGCGTCAGGGAAATCCCAGATATGAGGACAGACTAGGAGAAGCACTCATTGAGGGCAGACCTGCAGAGGAGGACTTGGGAGTTCTGGTGGACAAAAGGATCGACATGAACCAGCAGCGTGCACTTGCAGGCCAAAAGGCCAACTGCATCCTGGGCTGCATCAACAGAGGAGTGGCCAGCCAGTTAAGGGAGGGGATTATTGTCCCCCCTCTACTCCACCCTTCTGAGGCCTCACTTGGAGTACTGCATCCAGGTCTGGACCCCCAGCACAAGAAAGATTTGGACCTGTTAGTGCGAGTACAGAGGAGGGGCTACAAAGATGATCAGAGGACTGGAGCACCTCTCCTATGAAGAAAGGCTGAGAGAGCTGCAACTGTTCAGCCTGGAGGAGAGAAGGTTACAGGGAGGACCTCACTGTGACCTTTCAATAATTAAAGGAGTCTTGTAAAAAAGATGGAGAAGGACTCTTTACTCGGGTAGAAAATGATAGAATGTGGGAAGTGGTCTTAAACTAAAAGAAGATAGGTTTAGATTAGACTAGGAGGAAATGCTTCACTGTAAGGGTAGTGAGGCACATGTAACCAAGAGAAGTCGATGCCCCATACCTGGAGGTGTTCAAGGCAAGGCTGGATGGGGCTTTGGCCAACCTGATCTAGTGGGTGGTGTCCCTATCCATGGCAGGGGGGTCAGAGTTAGATGATCTTTAAGATCCCTTCTAACACAAGCCATTCTATGATGATTCTATTGTAACCATATTCTAAGCCATCTGGGAACTTTTTAGTTAGTGTCGCGTTAAAGGGGTGTAGCTGATTAACCGTTACGGGCCCGGTTGGATTCAGAGTACTGAACCAGTCGGACATTCACCAAAACTGGGGGTCCGTTCGGACATTCACCAAAAACGTAATAACCGCCTGGGGGTCCGCTCAGACATTCACCAAAAACGTATTAACCACCTGGGGGTCCGTTCAGACATTCACCAACAATGCATTAACCGTCTGGGGGTCTGGTTAGATTCAGAACACTGAACTATCACGGATAACCACCCTCACCCTAGTTGCATTAATGAGAGCTATCACAATGCAATCAAGTATGGTTTATTAGAGCAACAGATAATCAGGTTCTTTTGGATTGCCGGTGATAGTGACTATCTGCAAAAGCAAGCTAGTATGCATGAAATACACAGGTGTTATAGGTGTTACAGATGTTATACAGGTGTTGTAGGTGTTACAGATGTTATAGATGTTATAAGTGTTACAGATGTTATAGGTGTTATAGGTGTTACAGGTGCGCAGCCTAGAAATAAACGCGTTAAAAGGATCAAAGACTCTATAGAGATTTATAAGCAAATATTCAGATCTCACCCAAAGGCGTCCCAATGGGGGGGGAAGAGAGGCTCAGCCCGTCGACTGATCCCAGGAGTCAGGAGATCCTAAGGATGTTGTATGTCCTCGGGATGGTATCTCCCCTGACGATGGTATCTTCCCTAACATCCCCTCTCTCTTGGGCCAATTTATATTATTTTCTATCTTTTAGGTGGAGCTTGAGTGGCTCTAGTCAAGCATATCTTAGTTATGATTGGTGTAAAGTTTTCCCGTCTCCGTTTAAAGTAATAGGCTCCGAGAAATTCAGGGCGCATGCTCAGTGAGGGGTGGTCGCACCTTGGAGGCGGGTAGCTTTTGGGATGGAGGTGTGTTTTGGTATTATAATGATATTATAATGAGCAAAAAGTACACTAGGGTACAGCATTTGTCAAAACATGACAGGTCTTTGGCTTAGGGTGGCAAAAAGTGCAGCTTTGTGCACAAGAACAATTGAGGCCCCACCTGATTACAGAGCCTAGCCGTGGTGTCTCCACTCCACTCCACGCTCCGTGGTGTTCCTTAGAGCTAGCACACCAAGTTTCCCCAGCGCGATAGCATCTAAGGTTGGGAGCCTAGGGAACGCTCAGATAATGCAGTTATGCCCTACCCTGAAAGCCTCTTCAATGCTATACCTTTTCCTTAAAAGTGTGAATGTTAGTTTTATTTTCCTAGTTACTTCAGGCATTTACACCACAGTTAGTAATGAAAACCATCAAGAGAGATCACAATGTTTTTTGTGAATGTTTTATTTCCTTTTGAGAGTATTAAGACTTTTATTCCTTTATTGAGGCCTTTTGAATGAACCTATTCCCAAGACAGAAGGTGCACAGAAGCAAAAAAAGGCTCCTCGAAGACAGTCAGATCCCAAGCAGGGAGTGGTAAGATCAACTAGTAGCGACAGGTAAATATATGGGCTTTAGAAAATAACCTAAGTTAGATTGTAAGTATTTTGGGAATTGATTGTTTCTCAACGTTTTTACTCTAATCTTAGTTCGGTATAGACTGACTGAGGCCCTTGTATACTACTGAGAATTTCATCCTAATGTGTGTTCAGAGTATCAGATATTATTCAGAGTATCTGAATACTATCAGTACTGAAATGGTTATACCTCTTGCTAAAGATATGTTATGAGCAAAGCAAGACTAAATGGGACTTTGTGGGGACCTGGTACAGTTGAGACAGTCATCAGGCCTACAGCATCTGCACTGTGCAGCCTCACTTGCTATTTTCTTCATATCCTTGTGTCTCATTATCTCCAAAATAAATTTTGTAAAGAAACACTATTGCATATGTCTGTTTGTATCTGCTTACCAGACCCCCTACCATTTTTTTTTCATTGTTTTTATAACCTGCATTTGTGATAAGTAGCAGCAGAATTCAGCCAAGATACAGTAGACTGAAATTATTTTTTTTCAATCCACTGCAATGTAAAACTTTATTATATTTATTCCACTACTGGAAAATTATATGGAGGGGAGCATTCATTAACGTTACCTTCGGGCAATAATCTGATGTATGTAATCTCTGTTTTAATATGAGTTGTTATCAAGTCTCTGGTTCAGTGCTAGCCTGGTGTGGAAGCAGAGTGAAACAGAGAGAAATTCAGTTTTAATGGTTTGTCTCTGCCTTTAGGATAACTTGATTGTATGCAGAAATAGCCACTGACCCTGCTTGCCCTTACCTGTGTATTGTTTCTCAGTAACTTTTGTCTTCATCTTTGCAGAATAATCTCAGCCTCTTTTGAAAGCTTTTCTGAGTCATTATCTTTCCACTAGTTCAGATCCTGATACTGTAGCAAGCAGAAAGGAGAGCTCACCATCTAGCTATCTGTTCCATCTGACTTCTTTGTACGATGAGGACATCATTGACTTGAAGTGAACACAGACATACTGTTCCTTACCTCACCTTTTCTTACAGATCTGTGAGCTCTGTAGGAATGTCACAAACACTGCTTCTAGTGGTAAAATGTGGCTGGAAGTATTGGTGATTAATCTTTATAGATCCCATGTTGTTCTGGCTTGCTTAGCCTGATTTGGTGATGCTTACATCTTTGACATGTGTATGTTTTCTTATCTCAGTTCATGAAACATTACTTTTTGTGGCATTCTAAAGGTAGGTAATCAATGAGAGCTTCAGGCTGAAAATGAAGTAAAAAGTATTATTTATTCTGAGCTTCTTATAATTGAAGTAGCTGAATGAAAGTGGCATTCAGTTAATTGCTGTTACTAATATCTTGAGCTGTTTTACAGGTGTGCACCATGTAGAAAGAAGAATTTGATGATGTAAATGATTCATTTTGTTTTTTCATTCTTAAAAAAAAAAAAAAAGCTTTTAGACAAGGTCTGTCCAGACAACGCAAGTGCAGTCTGTCCTTGAAATGATGGAGCTGTGTTTTATTCACTGAGGAATGATGGTTACTCTATAAAGATCAGGTAACACGAACGTGCTGTTTTCTTTTCTCAGACCTGTCCTTGCACTTTTTTTTTTTTAAGAGAAACTTGAAAACTGTTTTGACATTAAGAATCTTTGAGTAGAAGGACTTTTTATAAGAAAATACAAGCTTTCAAATCTTCCATAAAATTGGAAGTCAAAAACACATTGTATTTCTCCACAAAGGGAATGCTGTTTCTGTAGTGCACCTGCAGATTTCCTCATTACAGGCAGAAGCCCATGCCCTGATTTTCTTTCTGACTACACAAAGATTCCTGTGCTGGCATCAGAATTAATTGTTGTCTGCTTTTACACCAACAATAGAATTCATTGCTCCAAGTAAACATATTTTTCTAAATGGACAGGGCTGAAGTTTTACTGCCAAGAAGCTAGTTTTCTATGGTGAAATAGTCATATTAGATCTTTTGTTTAGTTAAAGGACAGTATTTCATCATTAAAGCTTGATTTTTTTTTAACCCTTTCCTCCATGCCAAAAATCAATTTTATACAATGTTGTGAAGGGGTTTGCTGTTTTTCATGAAAAAGTGATGCTTCCAGGCTTTTTGTATATGAAGATTTGGGCTTTATTAGGGTATTTCTTGCTCTTTGTGTAGAAATATTTCTGTATCCTTGATTTATTTTGTAATACCATTTATGTGTCATGATTTCCCCTGTCCAAGCATGACATCTGGTGATTTGTGCCTTTTGCTTCAGTCTGTCTGAATGTAAAACTTTTTTTTTTTTTTTTTTGCAAAGTTTCATGGTATATGATGATTTTATTTCTCCATCTAAGAAAATATGCAAGGCCTTAACTGAAAGGATTACTTCTTATTCTCAGTCAGAGTGGTTGATCAAGAAAAGAAGCAATATTTTAAACATTAATTAGTACAGGAACAGAAGCAGTATTAACCAGTGGCTACTTGTACTTTAGTATTTTTGCACCTAAATATGTATGGAGTGAACCTTAGTAAACACCCGGAAGTGCCACCTCAAAGTCTTTGCAAGAACTTCTAATTCTTTTTGAGAATGTCTCGGGGGGGAGAAGGGCGAGGGACAGTATCCATTTTCTCTGTTCTACTTACCTGGTTAGCTATGGTTTAAAAAAAAAATCACTCTCAAAGTATTGTGTAGTCCTTATTCTGCTGCAAGTTGTAACCACTTGTGTGGACTCGTTGAATCAGTTTTAGGGGAAGCACCGTTTGGGCTTGGGTATTTTTAGAAAGCAGAAGCATCACCTTTTTCCATAAACAGGTTTCTCAGTGTAGTATTTTTATTCCTGTTGTGTGGGTGTTTTTGAAGACTGTACTAGTGTGCTGCAAAACTCAGGCTTTAATTTCAATTTAATAAAATTTGAACTGGAAAGTTTGATTTGAACTTTTAGATTATCAGATTTTAAATGTATTGCAGAGGTTCACTTCTGCTATTCTAGCATGATTTAACATGATTAAATGATAGTTTGGTAGTAGTTGAATACACGTGTATACGTATGTTGATTAGAAAACTTGTTTGAAGAACCTGAACAAACACATATTTAGGTATCCTGAAAGACATAGAAAGACCTTTTAGATGGAGCAGTAGAGAGATCAAGAAGAATGGAGAAAGCTTGACTATAACTGACCTAGGGTGATAGTCAGGATGAAAAACCACAGCAGTGGCAATAAAGTATTGCTATGAAGTTTGTGTGTGGAGTTCTGCCTGTAATAGCAGCATTGATGACATCTAGCAAATACTAAACAAGCAGCGAAACTACTGTAAGGAATACAGCAAAAGTCTGACTGCTTAAACTAGATGAAAACGAAAAAAAAAAAAAAAAAAAAAAAAAAAAAAAAGATCAGACTAGCTTCCTGGTATTTATTTTATCTGGAACAGGATGTTGGAAGAGTTTGAGGAGGGAGGAAGCACAGATCCCATATCAATTGGCTTGTCTCTCCCCTCGTCCGAATTTTATGGTATAGTTTAATGTGTCTGATGCAAACTGTTATGCAGGTCACATTGGGAACTACCA